TATATATATCTTTAATGACATTGTGAATATGTATGATTCAGAGAGATTTCAGGCTACATCTTTCTTAAGTCTAAGTTGTATAGGAATTAAAAATGCCAGTGAAAATCAGAGACCTAGGCTCTGGTTTAAGCCAGTTAAGCCTTATTGAAAAATTTACTCTGAACTTCCTAAGATGTTTTCTTAAACTATTTTTAAACTCTGAGGTTTTTAAAATTAACTGTGAACATCTTTGGGATCCCTGACTCAACTTGTTTTTTAAATTAGTTGGTGTCTTTTGATTATTAAAAAGAAATGTATTATACTTTCAGAGACTGAAAATACTAATAAGTGATATAGTGTAACATTTTTAGAGGAAAACATGGCCCTTATAATTTTCTTATTGGTTTGGTTCCCTGATAATGGTTTTTATCTAGAGTAGTTGTGGGCAGAGTGATTTTTTTTTTTTTGTTCAGTCTCTTCAGTCTATTACTGATTTTGCTGTCCTGTAAGAATCAAGAATATAGTTCCTATCTGTTTCTGAGTAATAGATTTATAGATATGCCATGGTTTCTTTTAAATGTTTTTTCCAGTACTATAGAATCATAGAATGGTTTGGGTTGGAAGTAATCTTAAAGATCACCTAGTTCCAACCTGCCTGCCACAGGCAGGAACAGCTTCGACTAGGCCAGGTTGCTCCAAGTCCTGTCCAACCTGGCTTGGATGACTGCCAGGGATGGGGTAGCCACAACTAAAGGTAAATACAGGCTCAGAGTTGGAGAAAAGTTCAGATAATGCTGTGACATCCTATCACCACTGTGCTACGTGGGAGATTTTTAGTCCCGAGATTGCTGAGTTTCAAATGTCTTCGTAGCTTTGTACAATTGCAGAGCCTCTGTAACCAACAGAGGATTATCCTAGGAGCAGCATTCACTGGGCTGTAATGGAGCCTATTGTAGCTTCAAGGTAGCTACTCTATTTTGTATTTACTACCTTGTAATTCTCTCTTTTAGGATAGTGAATATTACAATTCTCTGCGATGGATACTTGAAAACGATCCAACAGAACTGGACCTCAGATTTGTAGTTGATGAGGAACTTTTTGGTCAGGTTCGTATGTTTATGTAAAGTAGAATAGACAAAACATCAAAGAAAACTATTTAACCTGTGAATTTATCTGATTTTATCTGTATGGTATTAAGAAAAACCCTTCATTCACAGTCATGTTAGTTTGTTCACTCAGCTGCTTCTTTTAGCTGGCACCTGCTTGTGCAGTGCTCTGTTAGGCTGGCTGTGATGTGATAAAAGTCTTGGAAATAAGCAAAACTTTAAAAAATAGCTTATGGATTTGTTTTTTTCTTAAACAGCACTTGAATTGTAGTGGTTGCTCTGAGTGCAACTGAGACTGAGATATCCATGGTCCTGTTACTTAATCTGGAGTAGAGGCTAGTTTTATGTGATTGGCTGGAAAGTATGTGCTCTTTTGGAAATGGTTGGAATCATAAATTTCACTGGGAGATAATAATAGGGTTTTTTCTTCTAAGTGGCACTAGAGAACTAAGGAATAAACAAGTCTGTTGTTACGTAGGAAGCTATCCAAGGTAAGTCATGTAGAAATATCACAGGTCTTAAATACAAATTCCAAATGACAGGTGTCAAGTAGATCTAAGTAGGATAATAGCCTTTGTGGTCTTGTGTAACTAAAGTGATCCTAGGTAGTAGCATAAAAATGTACATCTGTAATGAACTGAAAATCAGATATTTGTCTATTGAGGTTCTAGTAGTACAAATCGATATGTAACAGATACGCATATTCATTCACCTATTTACTGGGACCATTCCTGATACTGTTCTGTAAGGGGTTTTCTTTGGAATTTGGAAAAAAAGGCTGGGTTATTGAATGTGCCATTAGTGAAGCCTACATTACTGAGAACATGTGTGCAAACTTGGGTGATTATTGTAACAGGTCAGAAAGAATTGAGATACCCTCTTGGGAGTCTTATATCCCTGAATAATACATATTTTTTTTAAAGCAACCAATCAAATTCTGTTTGTTTATGTGGCCTTTGAAACTGGTTCTGTTTCTCATAGTTTTCAAACGCTGCAGTCTTCAGGAGTTAACTAAATCACCTAATACTACCATGTGAATTTTGTGTATTTATCTCATTTAAGACCTATTCTATATATTGCATTTAGACTCATCAACATGAACTGAAAAGTGGTGGATCAGAAATAGTTGTCACCAACAAGAACAAGAGAGACTACATTCAGTAAGTAGTGGTCACTGTGCAATCTATCTCACTGAATTGCCCCGCTAGTAACAGGGGCTGTCTTAGTTGTATTAACAAAAGGAGGTTGTTGCTTTGTATATAAATTGCATTTATTTTAAATGTGGGTTGTTGTTTTGTTTTTACAGTCTTGTAATTCAGTGGAGATTTGTGAGCAGAGTACAGAAACAAATGTCAGCCTTTAAAGAGGTATAGTTTTAATTACAAAATAAATTCTTCTAAGAACTTGTTCTATCTAATTTTAAGACAAGCTTTTTTGGACATCCTGAAGACCCACAGATAATGTTGTTACAGGTGTTACAAAAGGCAGTAATACTGTTTATAGTGTCAGCTTTGAACTATTTCAGACTTAAAAATCTTTCTGGAGTATTTTTACTGATGTGTTTAATGCATATTGAAAAATTTGCTTATTTCTCAATGCTGGCTGACAGCTTTAGCTGTAGTGCACACTGTTTAATGAACTCTGCAGAGAAGAAAACTAATTCTGTTAGTTTGATTTAAATCAGCTGCTTTATTCTTATTTGTATAAATGATATTACACATACGGTATTCAGACTTACATTTTTATCAATCAGTGTTGCACAAAAAAGATGTGAGATAAGTCAGAATTAGAAGTAGCATGACCAAACTAGGGACTGCTGGTGTCCAAAAAGTCTGTTTGCTGTATTGCTTTGGCTCTGTTTACTAAAGCATCTAAAGATTGTTCTCAGTGAACAAAAAATGCTTAGATAATGTTGACTTGATTTTTAAAAACTTCCCTAATCTTTTTAGGGCTTTTTTGAACTAATACCGCAGGATCTGATTAAAATCTTCGATGAAAATGAGCTAGAGGTAAGTGTATCATGAGAAAGAAAACTAATTCTGTTAAAACTTAATGTTACTGACTTCAACTTTGGTGTTTTTGTCTTTTATTTATCTGTATAGTTATTAATGTGTGGACTGGGAGATGTGGATGTGGCTGATTGGAAGCTACATACAAAATACAAAAATGGCTACAACATAAACCATCAAGTAATACAATGGTTCTGGAAGGTATCATGAAGTTCTTATATTTTATTTATTTGTTTGTTTTTACTTAAAACCTGTTCAAAAGCTGCTGCCTTTCAGCTATGCTAGATTATCGTGTGAATCATGAATTTACCTACCTGTAAAGATTTGACCATTAAAACTCCTGAGGAAAGAAAGACAAGTAAGGTTGAGATGCATCCTAAGAATGTAAATACACTACTGATGCTTACTTTTTAAAAAAATAAATAATCCATGTCTGACGGGGGTTAAAAATATTTCTGTGTAGGTTTTTCTGGCATGTTTACACTAAAGAGGTGTTAAACTCTTCTGTTTAATAGATTACAGGAGTTTGGCTGCTAGTTCGTAACATCAGGGAACTTCAAAGCAAGTAGGGGCCAAATCTTCAAGGGAAGTATTTTAACAGCCTGCTAAGCCAGTAACTGTACTCTTGTTACAGTGCCATTAAAAAATTGTTGACTTCATAGCTTTTAGCAATAGGCAGAGAGGTGATCTGTGTGTGTCACTAAAAAAAAAGCATCTATATAAAGGATAATGATTTAGAAATAGAAACTGTGTTGCATAAATCTGCTAGCTTTAAATCTTAATTTAAAAATAAATCTTTAATTCTGTTATCATACATAGGCAGTCTTAATGATGGACTCTGAAAAGAGAATAAGGTTACTTCAATTTGTTACTGGCACATCACGTGTACCTATGAATGGGTTTGCTGAGCTGTATGGTGAGTACTTACGATTATGGTCACAATTAAGTAATGGAGAACCTGATACTGACATTGTCGTGATATTTGACTTCAAAGATAGGCTCATCATTTTTCAAATTTTGCTTTAAAAATGCATTATATACTGGCAGTTAGAAGAAGCAAAGTTGGAGAAGAGTGACTTAGATCACACATTTCCCATGTTCTGTAAATACTTTAATTCTGGTTTTGGAAGTTTTCAAAGTATAGGGCTTCTCAAGAGAATGTGGATTTTTTAAAGTCCTAAAGAGCTGCAAAAATCCTTGTTTAACATGTGATTGAGGTTGAAGAAAATTATCTAAGTTCTGATTTCAAAGACGTGCTGGCATCAGTAGTTAACTTGAGATTCTGCTAAGTTCCTGAGCTACTTTTATCTGCTCACAAACTACAGTTGTACAAATACGGTTGTTTGTAACAATAGACTCTAAAGAGGACCACTGAAATAACACAAGTTAAACATAACGCCAAAAGAAAAGTAGTGAACCTACAATGCAGAGACTGAAACAAGCAGATGGCAGTGGGGAGCAGACTTCAATACCAAAGCCAGAAAAACCACTGTGGAAAGACTGCAGGCAAGCAGATATAACAGCCCACAAAGGCTTGGGGTGTTTTGCTTATGGGAAGTCTTTTCAGCTGCCATCAGCTATTATGTTTTCTGCTAGACTACTTTATTAAGGCTAAAAGTGCTCGAGATCCTATGCGAATAGCTGGATAGCCTACCTTGCATATTTAAATAAACATTTTCTTCTATGTAAACGAGACAGTAATTTGTTAGTGAACCACTAGAACTGTGAACAAATACCACCCATCATGTATCCCCGTTTCTCCTTCTCTTTATTTTCATTGTAAATACTCAGTTTATTTTTCACATTACATCAGGGAGTTGTGAGTTCCAATGGGAAGGACAGTGCCCTCAGCAGACTTGAGCCATGTGTCTGCTGTTGCACCTGAACCTCAGTACTGTTGGTGTTATAGCACATGCTCATCGCAGTGGAACCCAGTTGGAATTCTGCTGCTTCTGTGTTTTTTGTGTATTTGTCTATAAACACTACCAGAGACAGAACTAAGGAATGATAAACGGAAAGAAACTGTTGAAGCTCTTAGCTCCTGTCTACCCAGGGAGCAGGATATCCTTGGGCAGTCTTCTGGCCAAGTCCCAGTTCCTGTAGTTGTGTTCACTCATTAATGACAAATTCAATCAGCAGTTGTCTTGCATAGTGCTTTCTTTCTTTCTTTCTTTCTCTTACAGTTTTTTCTGCTTTACTGTGGCCAGTATGCCATCCGTACTAAACCCCAGTAATGATCACAATCACATTTTCGGTACCTGCTTGTATTCGAAGAACTGTAGGTGGTTCTTCAGTGCTTCGTGTTGGTACGTGGCTTTTTGCTGCTGCCGAGCTGCCCCTGCGGTTGTTCCCTCCCCACCTTCGGGCTGCAGCCCTAGAGCTGGCTTTCTAGCCGGAGATCCCCCTCTTGTGGCCCAGAGAGGCATTTCTGCTCATAGAAAGGGAGTGCTTGGTGCCAGGAAGCAAATCCACCCGAGTTTTGAAAACTAGGACACTGAACAGACGTGGCATTCTTATTTCTTGTCTTTCTCCCAGCCTGCTTTGTCAGCCTCTAGTTAATTAGTTGAATAGCTAAAATGCAGAGTTATTATCTAGCTATTAAAAGGGAGGTTTATCTTCTTGTCAGGTGGTACATGCACCATCAGTCATAGAGCTGCTTCTCTGCTTCCTCCTTACCTCAGGTGTTCTCACTAGTTGGCTTTTCTAGCCAGCCTTCTCTGTTGAAGCAGCATGTAACCCAAAGAAGAAAGTAAGAGGAGCTGGAGGTGTTCCCACAACCAGTGTCATGTCTAGTTCGTTCACTAGACTTGTATGAAGTATAATTTCTGTGCATTGATTGGTATTTCCTACCTTTTTGTGTATGTTAGTAGTTGTGGAAGGGTTTTCTTCTCCTCTTGTTTTATATTCATGTTTGGGATGAATTGTCTCAGGGCTTTTGTTGTTTGAGGGTCTTTTCTGTATATAAGTTGGCTAGCATCTTCCAAATCCACTTCTACAGTGTGCATTATTACATGTTATAATTTAATTATAAATATGTGTACGTTATTTTTTCATGTCTCCATAGAACCACAAATGAAATCTTTTTGAACTGACAGTTATAACTTGTGTAGTTGAAAACAAACCCCAACCAAACACATTTTGGAGGAGTCATGAAAAACAGGGAAGGTGTTTGTCTGCATTATAAAAACAAATACATTTCGTAGGTCTAAAGGTACTCTACAAAGTACTTATACCTCAGCTGTATTCATAGCTCAACCTGTTCTCATTGCTGCTGCTCATCTTAGTCTGAAACATGTTTTACATCTTCCATTTCAGAAGTAAAAGGTACTTGGGTAGCCATCTGCTTGGAGTACAATTCTCTTAACTGTATTGATGGTCTCCTTGTAGAACTGTCAGAGGACACCTACCCTCAGAGATCATCTCCTGTTCTTTGGCAAGATAGTGGTTTGCTTGTCTTTTGGGTTTGGTTTTGTTTGGTTTTTTTTACTTAAGCTACACAGTCTGCTCCAGACACCCACAGATGCTTTCAGCAACTTAAGGAAATGGTTACAAAATGCCCTTGGCATCCACTTGGTGAGAGTTGAGAGGTTCAAGAAACTTTCAGATACACTGTGCTGTAAGAAAGACAGTTGTGGAAGGCACGGGCATAGCTGGAGCTGCACTTGCTAGCCAAGAAAGTTGTCTCAGGTGCATATGGACATCCTGAAGTACATGTGTGGTCACTGTGTTTCAGAAAGTTCTTACTCTGTGAAGGTGGACATTGCATACTTTCTGCCAGGTTATCTAACTTGGCACATTGTGATTAACATGTCTAAATTTTAATTGCAAAATGCATTATAGTCTTCTGCATAAAATTTTCAATGCCAGCTACTACGCATATGCATGTAGGTCTTAAACTTCTGAGTTTAAGGGGTAAAAGTCTCTTGAAATTAAGATACAGCAAGAAATAAGTCTGACTAATGTCAGGACTGCATTACAAAAACCCACAAACACATCGTAACTTGCATTTCTGATTACAAAAGAATCTCATAATGGGGTGAAAAATGATCTATTCTTTTCTGCAGGTTCAAATGGACCACAGTTGTTTACAGTCGAACAGTGGGGCACCCCTGAAAAACTGCCAAGAGCTCATACCTGGTCAGTATTTAATTTAGGTAAATCATGACCTTTTGTAAGAGTGATGAAATGCTTAAGAGTTTTCATCTGTTTTTCAGCTTTAATCGCTTGGATTTGCCTCCATATGACTCGTTTGAAGATTTACGGGATAAACTTCTTCTGGCAATTGAAAATACTCAGGGTTTTGATGGGGTTGATTAAGACACAGACATAAATTGTATCGGTCCAGTGCTGCAATTTAATTTTAAGGGTTTACAGACAAATTTGAGTTTTCCAGGGGCTACCATTGTATTTAGTCACATGGCTATTGAATCTTCATAGTATTACTTGTAAAGTAAGTATTCAAAATTCACTAACTTCTGAACATGTATTTTGCCATTTCCACAGTTCTGTGTACTTTGCTAATAACTACAATATACACATTGGATGGGCCAGTGCCAAGTAAGTCAACACCTAAAATGTTTTTAAGCAGTTGCCTCTTCTACAGTATTTGACAGACTGTCCTGCAGTAAACTACTGAAGTAAAACTGTGAAGAAATCTTTGCAGAGGGTGTAAATTTGAATTGCTGCTTTAAGAGGAACAACTGAAATTGTTAAACTGTTTTAAAAACCAAACCAACGAAAAACCAAAACCAACAAACTTCATGTAATGCATTATCATAATCTGTGCTGCTTCAAGCTGTTTGCTACACATCTGTCCAGAGCATATTAGTAAAAGGAAAGCATTCGTTTGCATTACCAGCCATCAGTTTGCAGAGCATTGACTTGCTGACACATTGTATTTGTTAGAGTTCTGTTTCTAACTTGCTTTTGTTAAAACAATGTAACAAAACCAGGGTTTTTATATGAAACAGACAAGCAGCATAATTGTGTTGTAAGAGAGATTATATACTTTGTTTGAATTTGTATACTGTCATTGGTTTATTGAGTGTTCATCACTTTTGATATATTTGTAGTTCAACGATGGATAATATTTTCAATTCAGCCTTTTGCAACAAATTAATCTTAAAGTGAAATTTGTATGGATATCACTCAGTATTAGTTACTGATAGATAGAGGCCTTTATTATCCATTCTTGCAGTATTGCACTACATAACAATAAAGAACATGTTTACAGGGGTTTCTGGGCCAAATTCAGCAGCCTGATATGTGCACGCTTCTCTGAGCTGCAGGGGGGTTATGCACATGTGATCAGGTGCAGAATTTGGTTCTGTAAAATGTTTACAGGTTGTGCTAGTTTCTACAGCTGCATTTTTATATTTTTTTTTTCTCCACTGTTAGTCTAGAAACCAAATTTGGTAATACAGTATAACCAAAGTCATAACCAACAACGTGCAATTTATTGTAGATCAACTTGTCATATAAATATTAGGTTGATTTCTTTTGTAAATGTGGATGGGTTTTGTATTAATAATACTTTTTTTGAGCAAGTGCTGGTTAAAGTGATTAGCAAAGTTGGTTCTAAAAGAAAAAATAGATTTATATACCTGGCTTGCTCTAATTTTAACATTTTATTACCAATATGACCTGCGGAAATGACAGTACCTAGCTTTGGCCAGGAAACTTCTGTTTAGTCGTTATAAATATGCAAGAAGGAAGTGTAGCACATCTCTCTATAAAGATATGTAAATTATGTAACAAATATAATGGGTCTTAAGGGATATTTAAAATCCCACTTTGTTTTATTCTTTGTCTAGGTCATTAGGGCTGAGAATATGACATGTAAATAAAGGTAACTTATACAGATTTCCCAAATCTATATCCGGTTTTGTAAAACATGAATGATATATCAGTAAATCTGTATAGATTTGAATGTAGCAGGTTTTGTTGCATAAAGTATAAAATAAGGATTCCGAGAGCAGTAAATAAAAGTTTATTCTAATAAGTTGTGACTCAGTTCTTCAAAGTGTAAATTGGTTATCTTGAAATAGACTTGTTTAGTACTCCTAGGTAGACCTGGGCAGCAGTTCTGTCATAATAGGCTGCTACTTTCTGTAGGTGTTGAGGTACAACAGCGCTGTTCCCTGGTGTTCTGCTCCCACGTACGCAGTCTGTGAAAAATTAATGCCGTATTTTTATAAGAGCCCTAGGTCGCAGTGAGCCTTCATTGTACGGCCTGCCTAGAAATGCTACACGGCAGAGAGGAAAAGGTGGAAGTCCCACAGAAATGCCAGATTCCCAAGAGAGGTGAAGCTGGAAGCTTGTGACTTCTGGCATGAGAAGAAAGGCGGCTTCTCTACCCTTGGGTATGAATGTACGAAGTTACTATGGAGCTGTAACAGATGAAGGAAGGAAAAAGTTTCACTAAGGGAAGGGTTCAGAGCCAGATGGGCCTGAACCAGGAGTTCACACCAAGAAGTGGTGGGTGACAGAATGCAGATGCTCCCTTCTGTGGGCTTTAAACTAGGTTTGTTGAGGAGTGGTGATAACAGCTGGTGGTTAAGTAAGAGAACAGAGGTCAATTGCGCTAAGTGCTGTGGCAGGGTGATGGGAGAGAGGCAGCCCTGGAGGAGGATGCTGCAGGCTCAAGGGGGCCCACCTCTTGTGCCTGCTCACACTCAGAAGGAGCAGGAGGAGCAAGGGATGTGGCTGGTATGGCTGGAGCCACTCGGCTGTGGGGAGATCTGTGTAAAGGGTGACAGGCTGGTACAGAGCTGTGTAGGTCTGGGTCAGGAGAAGGCTTGTCCTAGGCCACCTCTTTGTTTTGGGGAGGTGGCAGACGGGACTTTGGAGCACCTCAAGAAAGTCCAACATTGCAAACCCTTGCTCTTGCATGAGACTGAACCCCCTGATGTCTGCGGGAAGGGCAACAAGAGGAGATGCAATCTGGGAGGCTTCTGGAGGGGGTTGTGAGTAGCTAAACAGGGGTGCTGGTTTGGCCAGCCGGGGAGGTGCTCCACTGGGTCTGCTGCCTGTCCCTTTGAACTTGTGTTTTCTGCCATCATACCTCTGTATTCCCTCAAACATCTACGCTTAGGTTGGGGGGGGCAACTCCCAAGATGCTACTATGGGCGCTTACCTGTTTTTTTTCACCAGATCCACTGTTCCTTGTGTGGCTGTGTGCCCGCTCGGACCACCTCCCATGGCATTGCAGAGGAGAGCGTAACAGTCGCTTCCTTGTGCGTTAGTGACCATCTCTGTTACACTATAACTTCATTACTCTTAACACCCTGCAGTGGTGCCAGTTAAGGGGTAAGGCAGACAGATTTCCTAGGCAGGTAAGAGCTAAATGTACCAGTCTGTTGGGAAAAGAGTGCATCGGGTTGGTGTTTGGTAAGAGATTCTGCGCAGATCTCGTTAAAACGCTTACATCTGTGAAGACCCCGTGTTTCAGAGGGAGGCTTGAGCACAACGCTCGTTCTAGAGCAGGGCACCTGGGCCACGTTCGAGGCGGCGCCGGG